GTTTGCCCCGTGTAAACCAGGGGTTGCGGTAAGCGGCTCTTGAATGATAGGATTCGCGACGTTGTTCCGTTGATGTGATGGTGATTTAAGGGGTGTCGGCCCCATAGGCGCCTGCGGAAAGTCTGGTATATCCATCTTTTCCTCTTCTCCTTCAGGCGATTCCATGAACTGACGGAAAGTAGCTTGCTCGTAGTGATCGTACAGGTCTCTGGGCGAATTCAATCCGTGACCGGGCACACTTCTTTGACTGCTCGACCCAGTTGTCGGCCGTTGCGCGACGACTATTTCAGCAAGGCGCTCCTTCGTTGGTTTCCTGAGGAGCCTCTTGGTGTGTCTATGCTGATCTGGCGATGGTGTTGCAGGCGAAATTGAGGTTGTTAAGGGAGACTTAGTCACGTAATCGTGTCCGAGCGTGCTACGCGGAGAGGACTCGCCGTACTGGCTTTCTCGGCGATGTCGGCCAGGCATGAGGTGCGACAGGTCCAGTCTGCTTGGTCTTTTTGATTTTGATGTCGTTGATGCTGTCGAGCTGACGTTGCCGTGGGCATCTGCGTCCAGCAATGCACTCGCCTTTGAGGGCAGCCCTTTGGCCATGGCGGAGGCTGATGTTTGTTGCGAGATGGACAGAGGCATCTTGGCCTTGTCATACCATGATCGAAGCGTCGAGTTTGACTGCCGTCTCCTCAGACTTGACGTTTCAGACATCAAGTCTCGAATAGTGCCATCGCCGTCTGGCAATCTCGAGTTGCGACCCGATCGCAGATATGCTGGCACCGTTTCCGACTCCAATTCCCATCGCGCATTACTTCGGCCTTTGCCAACAGATTCCTCCTCTTCGCCGACTGTCTGCAGCGCTCGATCATTAGTGTAGTAGCTCGTCGTTGCGGTGCTTTCGGATATGGAGATGCTAATTCCCGAATTCGACATGTCGTCCCATTGCGGTGCGTCAATGTTGAGTTCAGCCGTGCCCAGAATCTTCTGTGCTTTTGACATGGGCCCCGACACGATGGGCCCGATGCCTGGCTTTTGCTTCTTTCCCGGTATGGGGAATGTGAACTTGGACGTCTTCCCCATTGTGTCGGTCGGGTCCGGGTACCTCTGGCTGTCTCCAGTGCCCTACGTTCTCCTGTCAACAATGCTGCCTGGGACGAGGAATGCCGAGGAGGCGAAAGATAGTCCTTAACACTGATTCTCTGATGCATTGGAAGCTCATAACAGATGAACAGCAGGCACGTCAGGGGTGGGAGGGGTTACCTTGTCGAACCTGTCGGGGGCCCAAAGGCTATTGATTTACCCAATCTCGTGGAACACACCACTCCACCTCCATTCGACGGCGGGTTCAGCTGTGTTTGTCGCAAGTCGTTGTTGTCGCAGGCAGACGTCGTGGACGGAGGTAAGTGGGTGTAACTTGGGTGAAGAGTCGGTGAAATCGAAATGTCTCACAAGGCCATTTCTCTTGCAGATCGGCGAGCAGAACCGGAGAGGCGCGGCGTCGCACAGGATAGCACTGGGGCTAACGAGTAACACAAGCACCCGGCAAGCCACGGTGCGATTCAGCTCTCCACCTCAGTGCCGTCTCATCGATCGGGCCGGGAAAAGCAACCCAGTTCTGCGAGGCAAGAAGGGCAGCACTGCGTTCGTGGTCTTCAACAAATCCACGTGGCGCGAGAAACGAGAAAGGGGGGTCGGGCTGGAGAGCAAGTGGCCTGCGGTTCATCTCCCAGACGGCACAAGCACGATGATATGGGAAGAAGACGTGCAGTCCTGCCAGCATGTTGACGTCTCGCAGTGACGGTCAACCTGAACCTTACATATTGGGGCGCTTTTCGGGGGGGAATCTACTCCCTCGTGTCCCTTGGCCTGTTTCTCTCCATAAGCCCCCATCACCCACCAGATCCGGCCGGGAAGTGCCTGACTTGCAGCAAGAAAGTGGGAACAATTGTACCTGCTGGCAGGGGTGTCAGGACGATGCCTTTGCAGATCCCTGCACAGGTCTGTGAAAGTGGAAACTTGAGCAGGATGGGACAAGCGGGACCACACCGATGCCGACCCACCACCCGCCGAGAAACCCTTCGTCTGGAAAGCATCCATCGTAAGAGGCGGCGAACAGCCGGTTACGACGCTGGCACTTCAGCTGGCGATGCCGGGTCTCGCTAGGCGTGACGCCATGGACATGACGGCGTTGGTTTGCTGTGCGCCCGAGCGAACGAGCGCCCGAGCAAACGCCGTGTGAGACTGAAGATGACTGCTGCTCTCCTCTCCCAAACCGGCCGGACAGGCCAAATGATCGGCTGGTCTGGTTCAGCACCTTCAAGCGCAGAACCCTCACTTGCCTCAATAATGAGGATGGGCGTTCTGCTGTCTTCATAGACAGGGACCAAGAAGTGCAGGTGACTATCGGCAAGGAAGGCAAAGACCCCTGCTGAAATCATTCGTGCACAGTTCCAGCAGCCTTGGCAGGCGTCGAATGAGGGCGAGCCAGCTGGTCCCTACTCAAAGGCAAAGCGGACAGCGAGGTCTCGCGGGCGGAGATACTGAACAGCCACTGGGATGTAGCACAGAAAACCCCATCTCACCAAAGATGGAAATGACGGGGCCCGCCCGCAGGGGTGCGAAGCGGATGGATTTCAGGCCAGTCGACCTTTTGTGAATACTTCTAATGATCTATCGATGCTTGCCAGGCAATACCCTCCCCGTTCCCATCTCACCACGAGAACATTCAGAAAAGGGAAGGGGTTCTAGGGAGCTTGGGCGTTCGGCCTGGCATTCGATAGCTTCTGGTGTTGGGTGCGCAAACATCGACCCAGTTGTAGCTAGACCTGGGAACGGCACCAAGCTCGGCCATCACACGACGCCTAGCCCCCTGGGCGGGGTCTGTCTCGGGCATCCACAGCTTCACTCGCTTGGTGTCTCAGGAACCGTCCAGGGACCAGCCAATGGAGCAGGTCCTCCTTCAAGCGACATCAGACATCGTCAACGACACGATGGGCGCGTGAAACGGGGTGCGGCTCCCGTACCGCGGTTACTCGGAGGGGCGACATTGGGAGGTCAGTCGACGAAGGAGGAATGACTAGGATGCATCCCTCACGAAAGCCGCCGTCGCGATTCTCGCACAAGCCTTGTCCGAAGTGTCCCATCATAAACTTTCAGGCGGAGCTCACGGAAGGGCGGAAAAACAAATGATCGTGGCAAGCCGAGTCGTAGGGAGACCGCATTTGGGTCTTTCTCCCACGACTTGGACTCGGCGCCGGCTGGTTTGTCCCAGTCCAGGCCACGCCAGGCACACTGGCCTCTTCCCTGGACTTCTAGGCTCGGGGGGAGGCTTACCATGAAGAGCTTGGGGCTCGGGGTGGGGAGAGAGATACATGGAGGTCCCGGTGATTCGGAACACGCAAAAGAAAATACTGGAACCAGCTGCTGTCGCCGCCACTGTCGTTGTCGCGTTTGCCGGGCGATTCACAGATGGATTCTCTGTCTATTGTGTCCGACTCATGACAGCTGTCGACGAACAGGCGAAATGGGCTCACGGACATCCAGCCTGGGGGCAAGACTGGATGGCAGGATTGCCTGCCAACAGTCACTCGGACAGCCGCACTCGCTCTCAGACCTTCCTCAAGAACCAGTCATCGCCAGGGCGAGTCGTCCCCCCTATTTTGAGGTTTGACTCGCGCAACTGGCTGCCCCCAATCACACGACGAGGACTTCGATCCGCAAGCCAAGCATCATGGTGGCTCTTGCCTGTTTTCGGCCCCGTTGACGGCCTTCTCCTTTCGGGCTTCGGCTGCTGCTCCGATCGATCAGGGTTTGTGAGTACAGCATGCAAGCAAGCAGACGGGCAGGCAAATGAGTAAACAAACGGCAGGTGCTTCATCAATGGTAAACAGCGGCGGCGGCCTTTCGATTGAATACGGAGTTTCAGCCCAGATGAAGGACGCATGCCTTGCAGGTGGCTGTAAATCGGTCCGCGCGCCCTTGGTTGCAGCGGCCGGCCAAAAAGGGACAGCGAGAAGCCACCGAGAGACGGACAGCCTGCCAGCTCCAGCCCCAGCAGTACATGTAACAGGAGCACCATCACCTGCCTGGAGAGATGTGATTTGCATGTGCATCGGCGGGCGTTCTGGGGTTACAAAACCCTTGTCGGCTCGAACCCTCCCATGTCCATGCATTATGACTAGCCCCTGCTGCCCCCCCCTGGACCCCATTTCTCATCGCTCCCCTGTTCTCCTTGACAGGTGCTCCCCCGCTGGCACCGACTCCTCTTATTATTGCTTTGAAGGACCCCTTGGTGAAGCCTCAGGCGTACTTGGAAGGGGGTTTGAGATGATGGGTATCTGTAAGCGGCAGGGATCGATCGGCTCACGAACCATCCAATTCAATAGCGTCGCCAGAGGAGATGGAGAAGTCCCCTCCGCAATGCGGTCCCTTGCCTCCTGTGCCTCTGTTTGCGTTAACGTGGTAGTGATCATCATGTTCCATGCGACTGAGCAACAGAACGGTAAATGAACGGCGATTCAACGTCGCGCCGCTCGCCAACCGTTGGTCATTGCGCATCGCCCATCCGTGCTGTCATGTCAGGTGGAGGAGGAGGACACACGGGGAGCAGCACGTTCGTCCAGGTCACAAGTTCCTGGGCAAGCTCGACGGTTGGCTAAGAACTGGGTGCATCACGAGCACGGTCACTCAAGAGTGGGCAGAGGAGGAAGAGGCGATGGAAAATCACACTACGATCGCAAGCGAGCCTTGTCGGTTACGTTGCGTATATGCGAGTATCGTCAGGGAGGTAGGTTGTCGTCAGGTACTCGGCCCCCTGTACACGATCGGATAAATGACGAACTAAATGACGAACAGCGAGCACTCAAAGCTAATGGGCGAGTAGTCTTGTTCCATGTCTTACTCAAAGTACTGACCAGCAGCTCTGTGGTCAAGAGACATGGGGAACGGTTCAGTGGCAGGTCTTTCTCCTTCGGCCTCAAGAGATGATTTGAATCAACACACGATCGATGGCATCTCGTCCAGGGCACTGGGTTGATCGTGTTCCGATTGATTTCGGCATGTCGGGCGTCCGGTGAGCCGAACACAGATGGCGAGGGAGCGAGCCTTCAAGTCGCCTACGCGGCCACCAACCACCATTGGCGTCCTTGTGATGTGCTGCAACGCAGCGGGCGCCTGTAGTCCATCCCCTCCCGAACCTCCAAGACGAATGTGTGTGTGGGGTTCGTACCGTTCTCAACATAACATAGCGGCGAGACCTGATATGACCGACTGACTTGTGCTGGCTCAACCACTGGCTGGCTGTAGGTACTATCCAGCCGGCGGCTTGATTGCTACCGTAGCAAGCGAGATGGTCTCTGGTGGGCAGACACCAGACGGAAAAAGTCAAGCCAAGCCAGCCAGCGTCCAAGCTAGCCTTTCGGTCCTCGGGGCAAATGTAACTCGGATTCCGGTCAAAGAATCCTGCGACCGCCGACCCAGCTCCCCGACTCTGCACGCCACGCTCACACACTCGTCAACGTCGTCGGGGAATCTTCACCGGAGGAAGCATCGCGCACAATCGAGGCGCGGAACCTCCGGTAGCGACATGGACAACGGCATCGGCCCCGGGCCCGGCGTCGCGGCATCGGCCATGAGCTTGGGCATGGGAACGGACACGCGCACTGATTCTCCAGACCAACAGCAGAGCGAGAATACCATTGACGACGGCGCCTCATCCGAAGCTGCTCTCGCCTGCAACTGCTGCCGCAAACGCAAGCTTCGATGCTCTCGCGAGGTTCCAACATGTCAGCAATGTCGCAAGACGGGTGAGTCGCTCGGATGATCGTTATTTCATCTCAGCTTGTCTCATCTGCCGATTGCTGGGCCCCCCCCCTCCCATTTCCGTTCGTAATGTCATGCGCCATGATTCAGTACTAATCACCTTGTACGTGTGCACAGGAAGTGAGTGCATCTATGAGACCAAGAGGGCCAAGCCCGGCATGAAAGCTGGCGCCATCGAGAACCTACACAGACGACTTGGTGAGACAGCATGGCCATTTCCTCAGTACTGCGCAGTGTATTCTTTGCCATTGATTGTCTGGCCTCATTATTCACATTCAATCCGCGCCCCTAGATGCCCTCGAACGCACCGTCAGTCAACAGGCATCGCGACCGCCCGAGCGTGATCCAGCACCAGCTTCTCTCGCGGCGCCGCCATCAGGTGATGCGCCACGTTCAGACGGCGACAGGAACCCCTATGATATTCTCTCCTTCTTCGCCAGAGAGCTGCAGCGCTTCAACAATGAGAGACCAGACGTCACTCCACCGCAGCCGCCACGTCACGATGAACGCCGACCGCCGCAGCCGCGAGCGAAGAGGCGACGCGGCGATAGCAGCGAGGACATTCGAGTGCCCATTCGTCTCAACGTGCCCTCGCTGCCTGACGGCGATGTCTTGGACGGCGTCCTCCGCGCCTACTTTGCCCACGTGCACCCTTGGATCCCCATGATCCACGAGGGTCGGTTTCGCCGCCGCCTCGCTGAACCCGACGAGCACCCCCGACTCCACGTCATCCTTCACTCCATGATCCTTGTAGCATCGCGATATATCGAGGACGTCAACTCGGCCGTCGCACTGACTGTGTCTCGCGAGAGACAGGAACAGGTCAGGGACTGGATCATTGCGCAGGCCATGAGAGACTTGTCGGTGGAGAACTTGCAGGCACTGACCATGGTCGCGTTCAATGATGTATGTGCGGGTTTCTTTGATCCATGTACCGGCCGTGAAGCATTGACGCCTCTGCTGACGAGTGACGCAGATTGGAAATGGAGAAGGGTCGCAGGCCTGGTCGCTCATCGGATCGCTGACGCGGACCGTGGAATACCTACAGCTGACCATCGAGCATGAAGACATGGAAAGGCTGTCGCTGACCCAGCCATTTGCGTCTCTGGCGCCAGCGCAGGACTGGACCGAGACGGAGGAGAGGCGGCGCGTGTTCTGGAACGTCTTCAACCTGGATCGGTTCTGCTCCGTGACCATGGGCTGGAACACGAGCCTGACCTCCGACGACGTGAACCGCCGGCTGCCGTGCGACGGCATCACCTGGCGCAAGGAGGACCCCGTGCAGACGCCCTATTTCGGCATCTGGGACAAGGGAGCTGGCCGAATCGGTAACCCCATCGCCTTCTTCCCGTCGCACTACGTAGCGCCGTCGTCGTCGTCGCACGTCAAGGACGAAGAGATCCAGACGCCGTCGGAGACGGGCGCGTCGCCGGCCGGGGGACCAGCGGCGGCCATCGACATGTCGGCTGTCGGCGCCTTTGCCTACAGCATCGAGGCGACCGAGTCCCTGAGCCGCGTCAACTCGTACTTCCTGCAGCAAAAGGTCAACATGCGGGACCACCGCGACCTCACGAGCTGGCTGACGCGGTTCAAAGAGATGGACCTGCGGCTGGTGCACTGGAAAATGTTTCTGCCGCAAAAGTGGAAGGCCAACATGGCGCGGCAGTCCTCGCGCATGGATCCGAACCTGACGCTGGCCCATGTCACGCACAACGCCTCCATGATTCTGTTGCACCAGGTCATGGCCTTCCCACCGCCCGAGTGGTCGTTTCGCAATCGGCTGCCGAGCATTCTCAGCGAGGACACATGCAAGGCGGCCGCCGTGGAAATTGCCACCATAACGCAGAACTACCTGAAGAACGCGCCGCTCACGGTGCCCGTCTCGAGCGCGTTTGCGTTTTGCCTCTACGTCGCCGCCAAGGTGCTGCTGTCCAAGTGGCGCTACACGACCCGCGAAGACCTGGCACCCGACTTTTGGTCTCTCGTCCAGAGTCTCGAGGAGATGGCTCGTCGCTGGGTCGGACCCCACGGCCTCGACAACGGCCGCGTGTGTCTCGCCGCCAAGTACTCGCAGACGCTGACCGAGTCGTACCGCCGCTGCGTCAGCGACGAGCACTTTCGCATCAGCGGCCTCGGCTACACGAATGAGATTGACCACAGCGTCACCAAAGCGTCGAGGGACGTCGAGGGACACTCTGGCCGCGACCAGCCAGATGGCGCCCCGATGCGACAGCTCGCAGTGCCGACTTCGCATGGTGCACAGGGCACCTCGGGGTTCCGGCCGCCACCGCCTCCTGCCGTTGCCGCTGTTCCTTCTCCTACCGGACCAGGGGCCTTGTTCGCAGGGCAGCCGGGCATGGCATTGGGCATCGCAGCCGGACCTGGCGGCATGCCCACGTCGGCGGTGGCAGGGTCCAACCTCGGGGGCATGGTGCGGCCGGCGTCGTATCACCGGGGTGCGGAGATGGGGGGCATCGACCAGGCCTTTGTGAATCAGCAATATGTCGACATGGACCGCGTCATCAGCTATGACGATGGCATATTTGGAACCGACTATGAGGGCGGAGGCTGGTGATGTTGGGAGAGACGTGTGGCATTGTATATAACGCATGGCCGTCCTGAGTCGGGGAGACAGAGCCTCTGTGTAGAACCGTCTCGTGTCCCTCGCCCTCGGCTGCCTGTCCCTCTCTCTACCTTATTTCTTGACAATCTTCGAGTCATTGTCTCATATGAAGCCCATCTTCATCAGGCGATTGCCAAACTCGACAAGATAATAGTCGCCATATACAAGGCCATGGTTCTTGAGCCTCCGCAGCGCATGCTCGTTGTTGTTCGCCGTGCCGTTTTTCAAGATGGCGTCAAAGGTACGCCCCGGTGCGACGTCTTCGACGACGAGGCTATCGTCACGACCCAGTCCGTCGCCGCGCGCCGCGAACCTCGCCTTCTCCGCCGCCAGCGACAAGTCCAGCGTCTCGCGAACGATGCGCACCGCCGCCTCGAAAAAGCGCCGCGACAGCTCGTGCTTGCCGATGGCCGCCAGCGACTGCGCCAGCACGAGCAGGCCGTTGGCGGCGATGACCCCGGCCGACGTGTCCCGCAACGGCCGCCCCTCGCCGTCGTCCTCGAGCGGCGCGTCAAAGTCCCACAGCGGCACGTACCGCCCAGCCGTTCGTCCGCCGCCGATGGCCGCATCCACGGCGGGCGGCGCGCCGTCGAGGCGTGCGAGAAAGTGCTCTGCGAGCCCGCAGGCCGCGGCCAGGAAGACGGCGTCGCGCGTCCAGGCGTAGGTCTGCGCGTAGCCGAGGACGGCCCAGGCCTGGCCGCGCGCCCAGGTGCTCGTGTCACTGTAACCCTGGGCCGTGCGGCGCCATCGTACGGCGCCCGTTGTCGGGTCGAGGTTCGCCACGTGGTGGGTCGAAAAGAGGGGGCCGGCGTAGGCTTTGCTACTGCTGCTGCTGCTGCTATTCATGGATGGCGGTGGCGTCGTCGGGGGTTCTTGTCGAAGATGCGTGCGCAGCAGGGTCCGCGCATGCGCTGTCGCTACGACGGCGAGGTCGGGCCGCGCGGCGTGGGCGGCGGCGTAGTAGAGCAGGTCGAGGTTGCATATGCTGTCGATGATGACGAACATGGACGAGGCGCCGTCGCTCACGGACACGGCCTCGCCGCTGCCGCCACCGTCGCGGTCTCGCCGGGCCAGGACGTCCCAGCTGCGGATGGCGGCGGCGCCCGGTTCGTAGCGCGTGGCGAGCGAGTCGGCGGCCGCCACGAGAGAGGCGAGGCCCGCGGCGTCGTGGGTCAGTTCCCAGGTGCGGCGGAGCGCCGGCATGAGCATGAAGCCGAGGTCGTGTGTGTCGGTGCGCGACGACAGGGCGTGAAGCGGCGCCGACCAGAGCGACGTCTGGCGCGCGAGCGCGGCGCGCAGCAGGGCCGGCGGCAGTGACGTGCGCATGTGCTGCGGATACGTGACTGCGCGCTCGAGGAGGGCGGCGAGGTGGCCGGCGAAGAAGCCGCAGGTCCAAAAGTCGGCTTCGCGGAGGCTGTAGGTGCCGGCGTTGGGGCCCGCCTGGGGCACCGTCTCGGGGAAGCCGATGGGTGACGCTGGTGCTGACGCTGATGCTGCCTGTAGATTCCGCTGGGCCACGCGCAGGGCTTTGGCGGTGACGCTCTCGTCAAAGAGCTCAGGTAAATAGGCGGCCAGATTCTGAGGCGGTGGGGGCGCCGGCTGTGATGCTGGCCGGCTCGTCGAGGACATGGTGTCTGGCGAGTCTGGCGTGAGAGAGCTGGTAGTGGCTTTCATTGTGAGTTGTCTTGAAAGTCAAACATTTGATTTCAGGGACTTGAGATTTGGAGAGCTCGTGAGCGAGTATCAGACTGAGCAGCTGAGATTGTCAGAGCTGAGGTGGATAGTATAATGAGGCGAGATGCCGCGTTGCGTGTTCTTGTCTGCCGCAAGGGAGAGTAAAGTCACAATGTCAGGGGGCACAAAAGTCACAAAGATGATGCTGTAGGTAACAGACTGCTCCCAATGAGAAAAAAACTCGTGATGCTGAACCCCGAGGACCCGAGAAGTACGACAGAAACGCGGTTGTGCCCCTCGCCTCGCTCGTCTCTTTTCCGGGTCTCGCATTTCCGAACCAGGTTCCGGCCATCGGGCCCAAACATAATCACTGTAAATCAATCTAGACCCTGATGCACAGAGTGCCGACGGGCCATCGATCCTCCTTTTCACCGCTACACTCGCCCCGAAGACCCCTGATTCCCCGCCCGTCACCCCCGGGAAGACCCAGATTTCCCACGTTGGCAGTAGGTGCTACAGGGTCTCTGGGTCTGAAGCAGGGCTGTAGCTTGAGGTCTGTCTCGTGCAGGATCCTCAACTCAGCCTGGGAGAGGCCGGGCTGTCATTTAGGTTGCCATCTGTGAGCGACACGTCTTGTGTCTAAGGACCGAGACGAAGCTTGTCAGCTGTGGTGTGGCAGACTGACGCTGTCGTTGAGGTACATCATCTAACGAGCAACACTGGCGTCGGCGTCAAAGCAGCTGCCTCTCGTGAGCTTCGATCGGCTTGCACGTCGCTTGATCATCCTGTGGCCATGCGAGGCAGGCCTGATGCTTGGCCATTCGCGCATGAGTTGTCGGCGCGGCGAGCAGCAGCCCCCGGGGTACTTCGCCTCCGAAAGCAGTGGTTGAGCAAAGCATCGCGTCAGTTCATCGGCGAACAAGCGATGAGCCAAATTCCTCCTGCTCACCAAGGCTTGACTTTGCGTTTGGTATCCCCGGTCACTACTCAATAGAAGAAGCGTCTCTTGTAAGGCCAGGACTGCTCTCTGCTGACTCGAGTGTTTGTGTCAGCCCTTCATATCGTTCACCATGGTGTATACCAAAGTAAAAAAAGAAAAAAAAAACCATCGGTGCACGATTGCGAACAATGCTGGAGATCGCTTTCTCCCAATTCTCCCTTGACTTCTTTTCAACCGTTCAGGTTCGAATAAGTGAGGTTCGTTAGCTGGAGGCACTGGCCGAGGGCATGGACAACAATGCAAAGACTACCTTTCAAAGCTCAAATCCAACCCTGGGTTATGCCATCGGCCGCACTGACCTGCTGAAGGTGGGATCGGTTTCAAAGAATCTTCCGGGGCTCACTTGGCCTTCTTCTGGTTCCAGTAGGGCTGGACAACTTGAAATTCCTGTTAATCAATCTACACATTGGAAACAACGTGTGATCGATTCACCGTGGTTGAGGCGGCACAATCCGCACAATCTCTTTGCAAGAGTGTACGAACCATAAAGGAACATGATCGGAGGAATACCTGGAGTACCATTCCAGCCAGAATTATCAAAGTACTAGAGTCTACGCCTTCCGTCCCACGTCAACGGGACTCTTCTCATGTGCACTATCCGTGTCGCCAGACCTCTCATTTGGTCCGTACGTCCCCTCGAGTACTTCTCCATCATCATAGATCGTTTCAGGAATCAGAGTCTCCTTTGCCGGGAAAACGAGCGACAGCACAACGTACACGACAAAAGCACTCGTGAATCCCCAGAAATAAAACATGTAATAAATCTTGTCGGCGCCCCCGATGCTCTTCTTCAGCGATGGTTCGACTTGCGCCGCTCTGCTATCTGTCAGCCACATGTCCATGAGCTCTTCGGTCCTCAGGCGCAACTCACAGTCCAGGAATGTTCGGCACGGCGCTGACGAGGAAAGCAATGACAGCCCTCCAGTTTGTCCCGACCTTGTTGTACCGGTAGCGCCCGTGAGCTCGATACAGGCCCGGGACATCGAGGCGCTGGCGGTGGACGAGCCAGTAGTCGGCACCGAGCAGCGCGGCAATGGGCGCGAGGAAGATGCCGAGGCCGCTCATGAAAGAAAGGAGCGACGCGGCCGAGTGGATAATCTTCCACGGCTGCATGATCCAGGCTGCTGTGATGGTCGTTATGACGACGCCCCGGCGGATGTTGATGTACTTGGGGCAAAGACTCGTGAGGTCGTTGGCGCAGGAGATGACGTTTGCCGACAGGTTTGTGCCGATCTGGGCAATGCACCAGCCGAGGCCGAAGAAAAAGGCGAAGCAACGGCCACCTGGGCCGTCCCACCGGGAGGCCAGGTCAAGAGGATCCCAGATGTACTCGCCGTAGACCACACGGGAGGCTGAGCAGCAGATAATGCCAAAAATCCCGACAAGGAGCTGGATGAGCGGCAGGAAGGCGATCTGATAGTAAACGCCTCCGGGTTTCTTGAGGTAGCGCGTAAAGTCGCTGATGTTCACTGCGATCGTAGCCCTACTGATGTCAGCAAGGGATAGTAGAAGGGGCCCGAAGCTTACGTACCACCCGCCGGTGATGCTGGATATGCTAGAGAGGATGAGCCAGCGGCGAGCCGAGCCATGGACCTGGTAGGGTTGGTCCCAGATATCACCAGTACCCCCCGCTCGGGAGGTCATGTAGATGACGGCTGCGGTAGAAGTGCTGAGGACAAGAACTAGAAAAGATGAGTAAAGACGCCAGCATACGGACTTTTGCCGATGATGAGAAATATGTATCAGGACGGCTTGACATACCGACTTTGGTGACGAAGAACCACTTGAGCTTGTGGGGCGGGATAAGCAGAATGGGGAACTGCACAATCCAGAAGATCAAATGGCTGACCATCTGCTGAGTGGTGATGCCGACCGACTCTGGGATGTGGTTGGGAATATCTAGGTATGAGGGCCAGATGGCGCGTATCATCTACGTCATGGCAGTTGAGCCCGTGTAAGTCTGGATTGCATGCCAGAACAGGGCTGTGACGGCTCGTGTGACAACGGCGAATCGTGCAAAGTACCAACCAAAAGAAGCCCTCGCCGCAATGGGATATGGAACGTGGAGTCGGGCGCCGATGAAGCCGTTGAGGACGAGGGGGACGGTGCACACAAGACTGCCGATGATGATAGAGAGGATGGCCTCACGCCTTGGGGCTGTCAGTACGCCGTGCCAGTGTTGAGGACCACGGGGCATACCAAGTCAGGCCTCCGACCATGATGGCAGCCGGGGCCATCCAGCCCTGAATGTTGAGGGCATCACTACCCCAGTAGAGACCCAAGGTCCAGACGGACCAAGTTCTGCGGTCCACGGGTGTAACGTCGCAGTCAATGTTTGTCCTAAAAAGTCAGGTTCAGGTGGACTGGAAGCACAGAATCATGTCACGCAACACTCACCAAGTCCCCTCTTCGGCAAATGAGGCCGTCTCGCGGGGGAGAACCCAGCCTGAAGGCTTGCGCTTGGCGGCCAAGTCAGCCTTGACAGCGGCGGCTCTCTGGCGGAAGGCACTGGCCATGGCCGACGACGGGCTGTTGAAAAGCAATCTATTTAAAGATTCGAAAACGACAACCAAGAGACGATGAGCAGCTCTTGTCGGCTTTTAACTGATCTTAAGATATATGGCCTTCTTCACAGGAGCTGTTGGTACTTGACATTGGCATTCACAATCAAAAGAAGCATCGTAACATGGAGTCCTGTTATACACTTCACGAAATTCGCTCTTGAAGATCTCGCGACTTCGCCTCTATCCCCAAACCCGAGATCTTGGAACACGATTGTCGACTTGGCTTCCAGGGGCGTGCTTGAGGAAAGCAAAGTTCGTGGTGAACGCCCGCAGGACATGTTGATAAGATAATTATTGGAGAAGCTCTCCACGACACCATATGAATGAACCGGAGCTTATCTACCCGTAGCCGTCGGCAGATGGCCACCGCCCTCCTTCCCCCCTCATGGCTGCAGATGCAAGAACACCAGACCTGGAATGACCCAACGGCGCGGACCATACCACGCGGTAGGCCACAATGGAGGTCACGAGTAGTTATGAAGGCTTAGCAGCTCTGCCGCGCGGGGAGAGTGGGATTGCAGCGGCCAGACCAATAACCTCCCTTGTCGAATACTGATAATGAAGGGACACAACAAGTCGATGTCAAAGATTGGATCGCCAAGCCTTGGACCTTATCATGGTGACGAGGTGTTCATTGGCTAGAGTCGTTGGGGTGATTCGACCATATCGGCGCGAACAGCGGAGATGCTTGCATGCAGGGGGGGACAACACCTGGGGTCGAGCTGCCCCGCGCCGGTATTGAATCAATGGTCGGCGGCCGGCGGCGGCCACGGGCTATGAGAGCGGCGGGCGACATGGATGAGGGCGTGCGCTCGGCGTTCAGCATGATAGCTCCAAGCAGCTCTCAATAGAGCACCACAGCGATGGACAATGCGATCAAGGTCGAATCCGATCTTGATCTGAGACTGGTATCAGAAGGGACAGCCGTGCAATAAGGCAGGGTAGCCTCACAATAGCTGCTCATAATTCCACCACAACATTACAGAACAGCAGCGAAGATTGAGATGATCAACCAGCTCAGGATCTAGAGATTGAGAGCCTTTTCAGGCCACATGCACAATTGAGAATACTTCAGTCCCAATCCAAATGCTTATCGCTTCTGCTCGATACGACTTTCGCCGGTTCTCTACGCCTCCTCTCCGCGACGAAACCGAGCGCGTCCACTCTGCGACTCTTGGCGGACATTGAAACTCATCAATTCCCTAGTGATTATCTAATGGATGCATCGCGCGCTCTCTAATGCCGAAGACGCGAAGCACCCCCTCCCCGCCTGGGATTTTGCCCCTCACGACAAATCAGCCCCCGCGATGAAGGCTTGAGGGTCTTGAGATGTCCAGTTGCCTGCATTCTTTTTAACATTGATGAGCTCGAAGCACGAAGCCTTAAACTTATATGATCACTCGAATCCTCCCTCACGTATTTCTTATCCTTGGGAAATCATTTGTTTCCTGGATGTGTGACAATCCCGCCGCATGCGCTACCAACACGATTCTGATATTTTCAAGATGTCTTCGGCGTCACGACCCAGCCTGTCATTACCGAACGCGAGGCCTTATCCGTTCGACTTTCCTCTGGCGACCACGGCGCTTGTCATTATCGACATCCAGCGTGACTTTGTCGACCCGGGCGGCTTCGGCTCCGTTCAATGCGGCAATGATGAAATCTTCTCCAAAGCTCGGTCTATCGTGCCGGCCGTCCAAAGAGTTCTCGAGATTTTCAGATCAACTCGTGGGCATGTGATCCACACGCGCGAGGGTCACCAACCTGATCTCGCCGATTTGCCGGCTGCCAAGAAGCTGCGTCAGATCAACAACCCCAACGGGCATCACTTCATGGGCATCGGCGACCAGGGGCCCATGGGGCGTCTTTTAGTGAGAGGAGAGTATGGCCACGACATAATTGACGAGTTGCAGCCCTGGCCCACAGAGGTGGTCATCGACAAGCCGGGCAAGGGCAGCTTCTGGGGGACGGACATCCACCGTGTGTTACTGGCGCGAGGCATCACCCATCTCTTGTTCGCAGGCGTGACAACCGAGTATGTATTCCTGACATGCCGTGAAGAGCTTGTACTGACCCACTGACCCTTCCCAGGTGCTGTGTGACGACAACGCTGCGCGAGTGCAACGACCGTGGGTACCAATGCTGTGTCCTCGAAGACTGCACGCAAGGCTTCGACGCTCAGCAGGTGACGACGTCCCTCGATACCATCTGCGCCCAGGATGGCCTCTTTGGTTTTGTTGGCAATAGCGCAGACTTTGTGACAGCGACCAAGGATGTCTCTACTGCTCCGGTATCGCAACTCAGTGTATCAGGTTCCTTTCCTTCGATCGACGACCTTCAGGCACTCTATAAAGATGGCCGAACAACGCCCACAGACGTGGTCAATGCCGCGTTCGATCGCATCGAGGCTTATCAAAACGAAGATCCAGCCGTCTGGACGTCCCTCGCAAAGAGGGCAGACGTCCTTGTCGCTGCGAAAGCACTCGCAGAGAAGTACAATGAGAAACCTTTGCCGCCTCTCTTCGGCGTTCCCTTTGGCGTGAAGGACAGCATAGACGTTGAAGGTATCGAGACTACGGCCGCATGTCCGTCGTACGCCTACGTTCCCAAGGCCACCGCCACCTGTGTGCAGCACATCCTCGATGCTGGAGGCATATACGTTGGAAAGACGAACCTCGATCAGCTTGCAACTGGTCTTTCAGGCTGTCGCTCGCCGTACGGCGTTCCGCACAGTATCTTCAGCAAGGACCTCATCGCTGGCGGATCTTCCTCAGGCGGATGCGTTGCAGTGGCAGCTCACCTCGTCCCCTTTACGGTAGCGACTGATACGGCAGGCAGCGGTCGCGTCCCGGCCGCCTTCAACGGAGTCGTCGGATTCAAGCCGACCAAGGGCACCATTTCCGCCCGTGGCCTCGTCCCGGCTTGTAAGACTCTTGACAGCATCGCCATAGTGGCAACCTCAGTCGCTGACGCGCGCGCCGTATGGCGCGTCATCGCTAAGCACGACAAGGCGGATCCATACTCAAAGCTGCCTCACACGCTGCCTACGTGGAAGACGGATTTCCGAGGTCTCAAAGACGGTGACTTTGATTTTGCCGTGCCCCCACCCGCGGCTCTCGAGGCCTGCACGCCCGAATATCGCCGCCTGTTCGCCGAGGCCGTGAAGAAGCTGCAATCTGCGGGAGGGCGTTTGCGGAACACGGACTGGGAAGCTTTCGAGCGGGCGGGCGAGCTGCTTTATGAGGGGGCGCTGCTGCATGAGCGCATCACATGCATCGGCAGAGAATTCCTGCGGTCGAGCATCCAAGATGGGAGCTTGCACCCCGTCATTCAAAAGCTTTTTTCTGACGCACTTAACAAGGCACCAGACGCGTATGATGTGTTCCGCGATCAGGCTACACAGGCTGAGCTATCACGCAGGGCGCACATGGCGTTTGACACGCTTTGTGGCGGGGTGGATGTGCTCGTTGTGCCGACTACGGTGTGCCACCCGACGTTTGAGGAGATTGCTGCAGATCCTATCCGATTGAATGCAAGGTTGGGAACGTTCACGCATTTTGCGAACATCGTTGACTTGTGTGGGTTGAGCGTGCCAGCTGGGACATATCTTGATGAAAAGGAGACAGAACTGCCGTTTGGGGTAACGATATTAGCAGGCAGCGGATTTGATGCAAAGGCACTGGATGTTGCGAGGGTTCTTGAAGAAGTAACGAAGGCTAAATAAGGGTCGTGAGATATTAAGGAATGGAAGCAGAACTACGCGAGATAGTGATATCAGACCAGAAGAGACGATTCCACAGGATATATCGTGAGCTCCAGCAGGCGAGTCTACGGTAAACCAGTGGCCTTGGTTATACTCATAGCTACAATGAAGTAGGGTAACATGGACTCGGGAAAGGAGACGACTTTATGCCTTCCGAACCATCACGAGGCGAAGTTATTTCTCCACTCGAAGTTCAGAAGTCAAGTGCGCAATGCGAGCTCTGTCGTATGTGAATGCCAGTTACGTCAAGAATCCCGCGATAGATCTGATTCTGGGCAAAGCCAATCTGCTTAACGTGGATGTCGTGTCGTCCAGGCCTCAGCTGACGAATGCAGAAGGACGAACCAAATATTGGCTCAAACCTGAATAATACCTGCAATATGAGCAGCAGCAAGTTGAAGACTGCCATCAAGCTCTGTACTTGACAAACAGCTTTTCCAAATCAAGATGTTAATAAGTGTCTCTTTCATGTGAAGAAAGCCGCGCTCGAGTCACGGCCATGCCCACAGCCTTCGTTCCAACTGCTGTCGACATGCATTCAGGGGCGAAGCGTGCCCCCATATCGGCATTATCCGGTCTGTCGGGGGAGTGGTCCCCCGAAACGGCAAAACGGCCGCGCCTGTCGCTGTCAGCATGACGAGGAACGTTGTGCTCAACCTCTTTGGGGGCTTTCTTGGTGGCATCTTTCCGCGTATGCGAACAAATCAGGCTGCCCGCTTGTTCATGGCCCTGGGCGGCCTCGCTCCTCCAGACCCGGAGGAACACGTATGAAGCAGCGGGGCGAAGCACAGGCAGACTACAAGGGCCGGGGTGCAGAGGGAAAGTCAAGCGGGCATTCCGGGCCACCCTTGATCCCTGGGGATCAGGGCCAAGTCGCCCCTCAATGGCAGACGAATAGGACGGCTGAGGCTGCAATTGCCGCGACTAGGGCCCGGCGCCGTCCGTCCAGCCTGTCGATCTCTACCCAGTCAAGATGTTTGTCTCAACCCCATCAGCTCATTTCCACACCTTGGTAGCCTTGACTTGTGATCCGAAGAGCAGATACTTCCGTGCCAAGCATGCCCTGCGATCCGGCCGGTCACTACGCTTGTGTCCAGAAGACATGTCATGATTCTTTGTTCAAGATGCTGGGTCTCCTCATCATTTGAGGTTACTGCTGGCGACATGACGAGTTGCCGATGCTGGCAAGCGACCTTCCCATTCCGGCGGTGAAAACTGCCCTAAGTCGGCCAGGTGGTCGCTGTGCCTTGTCAAATGATGCCGCCTGTGAAGGTTCTCAGGGGGGTTACTGCGGCGCAGCAGCGAACACCTGCAGCTTGGAAATCTGCAGCGGCTTCCGCTGTGTCGGGACCAACAATGTGAACAGTTGGAACGCCGAGAAAACGTGGCTTCGGAGAGAACCCATATTGTCGGGTTTTCTGAGCCAACTGGCTGTTGTATGCTTCCCAACCTGTTGTTATTGTCCCACGCACGTGTTTCTAGGCGCTTGGCGGTTCTGGTGCTACCTTACCATGTGGTGATACTGCGCGACGATGCACCCTTTGCCGAACTGACAAGAGATGCGGCCCTACTTGTCTGTCGCTTCCGTTTATTGGACTAGGTTCCATGAAGATGTGAAAATTTCTATCTCGGTTTTCTACCGCCGTTCAAACCTCAAGGCGCAGCGTCCAACGGGCCATCAAACATCCAATCCCTCCAGATATAAGGTCCGAACGCCACAGTTCAACACGTAAATAGCCAAGGCATACGCTCCCATTATTCATACTGTACCGTAAAAGACTTTGTCTGTAGAATCGCCTTCTCACTGTGGTTATCGGGTTCCACGCCGCTCTGGCTCCCAGCGTCGACCGTCACCTGAGTGTCCCCGAGAATATTGTTGTCCTTATCTCTGTTAGATGAAGAGAACGTCTGCATCTCGTTATCGTCAAACACCTCGTACTGGTTTCGTTGCTTCCGGGATCGGCTGAGGCCGTCTGCAGATCTTGGCTGCCCAGCGTACTTTCGAGCATAGGATGGATCGGATGTCGAGTCGCTGCCCATCAACCTCGGCGCAAAGTGTCGGAAGAACTTTCGCAAGGTTGGCATGGAACCGCAGATAATGAACAAGTTGGCCTCCAAGAAGCTGGAATTCACATGGTCAGGCCGGCTTCGAGCAGCACATGATGGAGAGACTTACGACCAAATGTTGGCTGGGGCGGCTTCCCATGTGAGATCCGTCGTCTTCAACACTGGGAGAAGATAGACCAGGCGGATGCAGGACGTTGTTACGGTTCTGTTCCGGGTTAGTCGTGTCACATTTTCCAGAATAAGCTTTCCTTACACTGAGCCGATGCCGAATACAATCAGAGCACCGATCTTCTGTCCACGCCCCATGTGCAATTTCAGAACCATGGGAATCGGCATGACGAAGAGAATGACGTCGGTCACAATGTTGGACACAGCAGTAGCAATGTACAGAATGCCGACATCAATACAGGAGCCGCCGACCACGGTGATGTCGAAGGCTTTGCGCACGGGATCGCAGTGGAAGAGAAGCATGGCTGTGATGATGACTGTGTACAAGCCAACAATCACAATCATGAACCACGTCGCGATGCGGAACCGGCCCTGGGGCGTGAGGTGTAGATAGAACGTAAGCAGCGACAGTTTGGTGAAGCCGTTGCACAGCATGAAGACGGCCGCAGCGACGTAGGCGATCTGCGATATCTGAGATCAGCCGAGCTCACCTCCTGGTCTGGCGATTGACTCACGAGAGCATATGTCTTAAAGTCTTCTAATGGAATCTCCCAAGCATGAGAGCAGAGAGTCTTGATCCTGATGGCCTCTGTATTCGCTGGTCAGTAGATGAGTCTGCGAAGCAGCTTCAGAAGTCGACATACCAATGAGGAGAGCCTGCGTCACGACAGAAGACATCTGAGTAGGGGTCAATCACTGATCACGAAGGTCTCGCGTTGCCGCCGGAATGGGCCTTACCCATGCTAAGCACATAAAAGCTGCGTCCCTGTTAGCTCTCGGTTTGTATGGCATGTTATCAAATATGCATACCATCGTCCACCTGCAGTCCTTTGGACAGGAAAATCTTGGTATAGTAGCGTTGTAGCAGGGCTATGAATGCCAGTGGCCCTAGGATCCCAAAGATCAAGTAGTGCTCCAGCACCTTTTGCTGCTGAGGATTCTCGAAGTCCACCACATAGCCCTCTGGTGGTGGCACCAAGGTCTGCACACCGTTGGTGACCGGAAAGTCGGCCATGGTCGATGTCGTCCACGAGCGGAACGTGGTTGTGGATGGGGGCGATCAGGGTCGTAGGAGAGATGGCATCGGATTTGGGAGCTCTCACGTTGTATAGCAAGACATTCTGCAGGATCTGCAAGAGTCAGGACTCAGCTGAGACGTCGCATGAACAAAGCAGCACGGCAAGTCTGCCCTGAATGGTAATCAGCGGGGAGGACCAGAAGGTGATGACGGGCGCTGGCTGGAAGGAAGATGAGTAGCGTCAAGAAGACCAGGGGGGCCGAGGCAGGGTTTAATCTGTGCCGGCATGCCAAGGGAGCTGGCATCTCTCTCACGAAGTACCGCGCCATGCGATATGCTGTACCCCCGCTCCTGGTTAAGGTTCCTCATGGCGCTGAACCCACCAGCCACCGGGGGTGCTCCAAGACCTGTCGAACCTTGACCCTGAGTTTCGTCTAATGAAATCAAGGTTATGGAAGAATAGGGGCCTCCTCCCGCTGTTTCGATGGGATCGAACGCAGGGGAAAAGGATGTGCTACCGAGCGATTGGTCTTTCTGGAGCATCATCATCAGGGCAAATACCTCGCTGGCTAGCACATGAACGCCCAAGACCCTAAGACCGACCGGCCAATGCAGCCTCCTTTGGCCTGCTGTTGACTCGCTGAAAACGGCCCGGGGAGTGCATCTCTTAGACATTTGGGTGCATGGAGACCTTTGTCCGAGACCTTATCGGCGGGACATGACTCGGGACTCGATCGAAGGGATCAGGAGAGCCCCAGCTTCCGATGAATACATGTCCGAATATCGCCTGTGTGAATTGTTCGATAGATGTTGAGAGTCTTCGGCGGCTTCCCTTCTCGTCCAGTGTCCGTTACAAGGCCAGGATTCGGGATTCGGCAGTACTTGATGAATTGAGGATCAGGGGCAGGGCCTCTCTATTCCACCGTCTTTTGCTTCCCCCCCCTTCAACCCCAGCTTCCTGTCAGCGCCAAGTGGACCCGGCAGTGATCTGCGAGGTGCTAAACAAGCTGGGCGGCACTATCCACCTTGGTCTGGTCCACCCACACCCGGAACAGGTTGGTCTCTTTTCTATCACGACTTCATCTGTGGCTCCAAGCTGCTGCTCTCACTGGCCCTTTCGAACGCAGTACCTTGCTGACCTGGGTCAGAGTAGCAGGCACAGCCCCTTGACAAGCTACTGTACACGACGCGAGGCAAGGGAGATGCCGATGAACTTCCTCCGAGACTATGAACCCCTCAGAAGCTTTGTTTTGCCATGGGTCGTGCAGGCTACCTAGCCTCATTGAGGTGACGACCCCGATTACCGTTGTCCACTGTCAGCATTTTAAGCGTAATGTGAAGAGATTAGACTCTCATGTCTCTGTCGAACGGAGACGGTGGATTGCCATGAGCAACCGCCGCAAGACATAAATTAACGGCCACGCATGCCGATCCCAATTCCACACACCCTTCAGCGCCCAGAACTTCGAGGGTCCTTCTGGAACCACATTGTCTCATCCTTCGTCACAGTCTGTGTGTTGTGTTCATTCATCCGTTCGCCAGCACTTCTTTGCCCAGCCTTTCAACCCAAAACACACGAACCATGAAGCTCATCACTGCTGCAGCGATCCTCGCTTGGGCCTCGGAGCGCACCGCGGCTGCCACGGCCGGGGTCCAGAGCCCCCAAAGCGCTTGTGTTTGTGCCGTCCTTCTCCAGACATGCCTTGCGTTCTCCACACAATCACAGACCTCTTTGTGCTGACGAGTCGGTCAATTGCAGTGCACAGCGCTGGCCAAGGACAAGAACCTCGTGGGCAAGGTCATCAATCCCACAAATGCTCTCTACAGCCAGCGTCTTGACACGTACTACTCCGCCAACGCGGCTCAGGAGCCATGGTGCATGGTGCTGCCCCTGGGCACCGCCGATGTAGCTGCCACCGTGAAGATCCTGACCAAGAACCAGTGTCCCTTTGGCATGAGGAGTGGTGCTCACTCCGCCTGGGCAGGGTCCAACGGCATCAAGGACGGAGTGACTATTGACTTTGGTGGGTTGTTACATATCCATGAACTTGCTCAGTCGCAGTCAAGCGGTCTGGCCTAGCATATAGTTCACAAATTCTGACCGCTCGCCAGCGTACATGAACACGACGACCTACAACAAGGCAGCAGGAACCGCTTCCATCCAGCCTGGTTCGGACTGGGAGCGCGTCTTTGATGCGCTTGACCCTTTCGGCGTCTCAGCCGTTGGCGGTCGGGCATCTGTTGTCGGTGTTGGCGGCTTCACGACCGGCGGCGGTGTATGTGACTTTGCATGTTGAAGAGCAATCCAAAGTCGTGAGCTTACACTTTTGTCAGTACTCCTTCCACTCCAACTCTGAGGGGTTCGCCTGCGACGCTGTTGCCAACTTTGAGGTTGTCCTCGCTGATGGCAGGGTGGTCAACGCCAACGCCAAACAAAACGCCGACCTCTGGAAGTCTCTCAAAGGTGGTTCGGGCAACTTTGGCCTCGTCACGCGTATTGACCAATGTGAGTACAGACGTTCGATGTCGGCTGAACTTCTTCTGATGTGAATCACAGACGTTGTCGACTCAAACTTGATGTGGGGAGGTCTCAGCACGTACGACACGAGCAAACGCGATGAGCTCTTCAACGCATATTTGAACTTTGGCAACAACATGGACAAGGACCTCGCCAGTCAGAACATCATTGCAATGATCTACAACTCTGCAGGGTTCATTTTTGTGTCCGTTTTGAGCAACATCGATGCCATTGATAACGCGCCCGCTTTCAACGAGTATCGCGTCATTCAGAACACGTCAAGCACGGCCCGCATCGCCCCCGTCGCACAGCTCGTTCCCGACTTCACCGGCCCGACTCCTCTCGGACTCTAGTAGGTGCATTTGCGGCAGCTCCGTGTTCAAGTTCTGACCGTTATCTGTAGTGCAAGCTGGATGAATGGCATGACGAAGCATGAGCTCCATGTCATGGAGTTTATCCAACAGGCGCATCAAGAATACGTCGGCAAGATGAAGGCAGCCGCTCCGAGCTCCAACTTTGAAGTGCTGCTACAGTTCCAGCCCGTGACGCAGTCGATTGTCAACCACAGTGTCCGCAAGGGTGGCAACGTCCTCGGTCTCGAGACCATCGTCAAGGACGGCCCGGTTCTAATGTGGCTGATTGCTCTCACCGTTGACACGCCTGCGAACCAGGAGAAGATCCTGCCCATTTGCCTTCAGCTCCGTGATGCAATCAACGCCTATGCCGACAAGACTGGTTCGCAGAAGAACTGGGAATTCCTCAACTACTCCTTCAGCGACCAGGACCCTATCTCCAGGTACGGCGCGAAGAATATTGCACACGTCAAGGCTGCGTCCAAGAAGTACGATCCCAAGGGTGTCTTCCAGAAGCTGCGCCGTACTGGATTCAAGCTGCCCGCCTGAGCAGAGGTTAGCAACCAACGTTGGATCCTACGACGCCGGCAACCGGACGTGCCCGGATCGCCGTTTACATACAGCCAATGATGAATTGACGAGCTAGTTAGAGCCTAAGAGTGGTATGATATTATTATTCATGTGATTCACATGTCACGCCTTTTCCAACGAGACACATCTTGAGAATCCTAGGGTGGCTGTTGGTCTTGGTCTTGGCCGTATACGTTCATTACCACGAGCCGTTCAAGCCAGAACAATGCCCAGACAATGAAGAAGACAACTAACAAGAAGTACCAAAGACGTAGGTAAATTAGAGTCATGTCTTTGAACCAAGCAAGGTCTTACCAACTGTCGAGTTTTCGTCCCGCCTCAACCCCAGAAAACTTCTCGTCACCTTCGTGTGCTCCCACCGGATTCCCTCGTTTTTTCCAGACTAGGTGTCTCAACCCTCCTCGCCCGCCGTATTAGCACTGCATTGCTGCTTGAAAATGCCGCCATGACCGATATTCTCTTCACTGCAATGTCTTGGCCGCAAAGTTGGACCAGTCCTGATCCGGAAATACTTTGACGGAAATACACTCAAAGTACTATACGTGTTAAGTTCTGTACCAGAGTGTTCAGTCGGATATAGTCGAGACACTGAGTTCTACAGGGCTTAGAACCTTTGGGTATCAAGGAGGGAAGACCTCCGCCAGTTATACTGGTTGAAAGCTCCTCGTTCCTTCACCCTGGTCGACCTCATTCATCCACTGTCACCTAATACCCCTGATTCTTGCACCCTGCACAGTGGAGCTGAGCTGCCGGGTATGTCATCGGTCATGACCCGAAGTGAATAACTTCCCCAGCCACAATGAAGTTCTCTCTCTCGGGCGTTGCTCCCGGTGTCATGCTCAGCGCTGCCGAAGCTGCTCCCCGCATGGAGATCTGAGTTCAGCCTGGGCTTTTTACTACTGAGATCACATAGTGGATACAAGATATGCATCAGGCAAAGCTGTCCTTGGCCTCCATCTGGTTGCCCAGAGTGCATCAACTCTGATTTCAGCAAGGTGACCAGTAACTATTGAGGCATCAGGGCCGTTAATCTAATGACTGTTCATAAGGAGACGTTTAGTATTCAATATGAGAAGCCTACTAGCTGAAAAGAAAGTATCTTGCCTCAAACCAGCAGCTTAGCGATCTCATACTTGAACGAGTGTATTCACTGTCATGGGTAGTGCCCACCCAACAACAGATAGTATCATGGCGGTGTCTCAATTTCGACCCGAATTCTTCGTATAGTCGCGAATAGCTTCGCGGTGAATATACTAGGCCAGTCATTGAGCGCCTCGCGAGGACGAGGTCTTCAATAGATTCTTACTAGACAGAAGAACAACGTAGAGAAAATCTGATTCAAAGTCTATATAGGCTGTGTGTGCTTGGTGTCGAAAGAAATTTCGTTCAGAATTCCTGAGAATATATTCACATTATAAGGCCGGGCTAAATATTAGTCGATGAATCACCAGTCAGGGGTTTGGGAAGCAGCCCAAGATCAGCCAGCAATACTGCACCCACGCCGGGATGGTCAGCAAGACAGTTCATGGCGCGCCGTTGCAGTCGAAATGGTATCATTCAACTGTCTACCGCTATTCTCTCCATAACTCGATGACACGTTCCCAGATCCTCAACAAAACCGTCTTCAACCCGCGTTGTTCCGCACGACGGATCGTCACCTAGCGCGCTAAAGGGATGCCGGCAATAGCTGCGACGCGTCAGTAGGGGCACCAAAGTTGTAGAGAACAACTGACCGCTGACTATGATGTCCTGCCTCCCGAGAGTCCTGTCCGCGTGACGACGCTTGCAACACTCGCTAATGTTCCTGCCACAGAACAAGAAAGACCTCATGTTGGATTCCCTCGGCCGTGCCAGGGGCGTGCGTCAGGGCTGACCTCCTCAATGCACCAACTGAGATTCTAATTCGGGATAATACTCCATCGCGGTACGGAATTTTCACCCTGTTTCTGCAAGACCGGAAGGCACTCAAAACAGCCGCCGCATCGGAGTACCCCGCAGTCCCAGCATGTCTTCTTCCCTTCAGTGTCGCATGCTGAGCTACAACAGAGTCTAGGTTTGTCGGTCGAAACGTCCCCGACGATTTCATTGGCGGATATATTACTGGCTGCGAGGACCAAAAGAGAAAGGATTGTCCTGAGATGCATGCTGTGCGGTGACAGCGGCAGCAAGAGGGCTCAGGTCGTTGACTTGCTTGAAAGTTGTTGATGGAGTCAATAGGCGAGTGACGGGCTTTGTCTGAATCAACCGAATTCGAAAGAAGGAAACAGACTTAGAGCCAAGCAGGACGTTTATTTGTAGCCAGTCCATGAGTGGCGATGAGAATTCAACTCATCGCCATGAGACCGGTGTGCGTTACACATTGTCGCGGAGAAAGGTTTGCTCAAGAGCCTGGTGTCGCCAACTGCAGTTTTGCCTAATCTTATGCGGCCGCAGAAAGACCGCAGTGTTGCGATAATTACGTCACAGTTGTGTAGTCTTCGCAAACGAGATAGCAGCATATGCAGAGTGTTTCAATCGTCCCAACCAACAATAGGCTTGACTCGCTGATCGCACCCCATGTCTTGACCGCTTATAGTATATTGGCTTGGCCAACGATGAACTCGTTCTATCGCGAGGGGTAAATGCGTCCTTCCGATGATCATCACAAAATGGTCCGACTGAGTCCAAAGTCCATGGATGCTGTTAGAGGTACTTGGGCGCCTCGCTGGCGGCCATAAAAGCCCACGACTCGAGCGTCCCCAAGCTAATTACTTGAAGTCGATATTAGACCCAACAATCTCGTTCGAACTTGTAATATCAGCATCTTCATCGAATTACCCCGCTGCCCTTCATCATGCTTCGATCGTGTGCCGTCCTTCTTGTTGCGCGTGTGTCTACAGCCGCAGCTCAAGCATGCTGTGCATACGGCTGCTCTGGACCATTTGTCACCTGCTGGGAATGTGTGACGCAACGATGCGGAGGTTGCTATCAGTGCCTCCCTACGTTGGGTTCAATTGTCGAAGATGCTCCAGCTGACATGGTCGATGGTGCGGGTATGCTCTCAAACTCCAAGTCCCTATATTGATGTGTCAACTGAGAGTCTCCTAGCATCGATCTACACGTTCCAGACTTGAGTATTCTTTTGGAGAACCAAACCCCTCTGTGGAAGTGCTGGTGGCCAGGAAAGAGGTCAGAAGTTGCTGTTTGGTGGAGCAAGGAAGTTTTTCGCACCTCAATTGAAAGATGTGGTGTCACAGTACTTTGGAGCTCTTTTGCGCAATCCTCATTTTATTATACGCTTCGCATTGCATATGACCGCAGCCATCTCGTGCATGAAGAGATAGAAATACCGTCCGTCTGCTGAACAGCCTCAATATGCAATTCTCGGGACAGGAGAACGAAGTTTTCATCTTGCTTTTCAAGACCCATACTAAAGTGACCGCCAGAAAAGTGCAGGGTGGCAAGGTAGCTGCTCGGGGATCTTGGGCTGCTACGGCTTCAGGTTATGTACTTGTCCAGTCATCACCGCGAACAATCCGAGCCGGTGTTTTCAAGGCTCAGTTGCTGTGTCCCGTATCACGCAGGGCTCGGAACGGTGTCCTAGCCATAGATGGCTAAACATGAGTTATCTCTTTATCTTGCACTAATAAGTATCACGGCCTCGAACTTTAGGAGAACCCCTCTTCTTCAAAGCAAAGCCTTGATTCGACATTCACGCCGAGCTTGCTATAACCTTTGGCCAGGTGCCTGGCTGGCACTGACCTAAACACTAAATGGCTTTCTGGCAGCCTGCGTGACTCGGCGGGCTCTGTGGGCGAAAGGCTGGTATGTATTTCCGATGATATAGTATGATATACGTGTTTTCTCTCTTGACGTCTGATGTCTGCCTCAAACCTGGACTCCCCAGACTTTGAAAGTTGAATGATCGAAGAGGTCGTGACTGGGTACGAGTTGTAACTTTTGAGTTGCCATGTTCTCAGGCTTCTCTAATTTTCATACTCTTTTGACTTTCACAATTCGAGCGGCGGTCTAGAAATAAGAAATGAACCTGAAATTCGGTCTCTCAAGCATCACTTTTGGCGGTGCTCCACCGAGCTCTGGGCCGTCTCGAACTGAAATACGACGTTATACTCTTACTATTTGAGGTATGTCATTGTCCATGATACATTGCTCATGGGCATGAAAACACAGACCAAGGACAGGTTGGAAGCTATGGATTCCAACTGCAGATATCCACAGTTGGCGAGACTCGTTTCGTATTTAAACACCTTGATGATTTCAAGGGGGTCTTGCGGGGCGGGTTAGGGTTAAAAGCTATTTTTGTCACAGCCCCAGCTAATCTAGGTTTTCCGACTCCCATGTCAGCGCTAATCATCTGGATTGTCCGGCGGTCGGTCCTCAGCTCTATCTGGTAGCAAGATCCGGACAGATCTTTGCCTCTTCCACGTCTCGTAAAGTGCTCGTGCCTCAAGCGAGCGACGTGACCAGATGCTGTGCTGATGATGCTGATGTGCAGATAACCAGCGGGAACGGCGCTTCAATGGCGTTGCTCCCGAGACGGCTGACGAGCTGACCTTACCCAGCCTGAGAATTGGATACCCGCCACACCACCAAGACTTCTCAGCCCAGCAGCTTTGACGAGTACCGGCAGACGGGTAGACGAAAGATGACGAAAAGGGACTTTGGGGGCGGCGCAGTTGGGAATCTCGGCCCACGACCGCTCACAGCTGAGATTGGAGGCCCATCCCAACAGCATGTGCAGACAGGGATCTCATCCGTCGCATCGCAACACAGATGCTGACGCCAAGGATGTAGGTGGGTGGTGAGAAAGCGAGCGGCGAAGGAAGCATACAATTCGAGCACTTTCCACCCTCGTGCCCCCTTTCGCAAGCTTGCAGTCTAGCAATTTTCATCTTTGTTTCTGTCCTTCTTTGTGATGTCAATCGCCTCCTCGCCGTTGCGCATTGCCTTGCCCGCCT